GTTTACCTATTGATGGTGTGAAAAGGGAATTTTTAAAAGCTGCAAAAGTTTGGCTACCACTACTTGAAAAATATACTGTACCATTGAATATTAGTTTAATGTTTGGTTCGATTTAGAACATCTTTCCAATGGTTGCTTAATTTGAAACCATCTTCTCGGTTGAAATTGTGTTTGTGTTTGTAGATCTGAATTGCCTCGTGAACAAATCTCTGATAAAAACCCGTGGGTTTGCAAAGAACCTTGGTATCGAACCAAACATTAAACTAATTTTCAATGGTACAGTATATTTTTCAAGTAGTGGTACCCCAAACTTTCGCAGCTCTTAAAAATTCCCTTTTCACACCATCTATAGGTAAACTTCCCCTCCCCCCCGTGCCAACCGGCATGTTCACCCACATGTACACCACCTCTACACCGTTCATCATGCTAAGTCGGCCAATCAAATGCTAATTTTTATGCTAATTCCTTTGTCAAGGCACCCTGTTTCCTCGCACACAGCTTAAAGGTCGCGGTCTGAGCGTGGCTGTGTTTCACTCCAGCGCTGCCCTCGAGACAGCCTGGTCCCTTCACCTGATGAAGGCCGCTTGTGTTGTGGCCAAAACGTCGTGATTTTTGTTGTTTTATTTTTTACCTACGTGACTTTACCGAATAGAACCAAAGAAAACCATTTCTGATTCAACAGCATTAATTGATCAAACCAAACAGTTCTCGTTGAAACCTTCTGCGGCCAGACCACCAAGATTATATGGCCTTCCAAAGATACATAAAGAAGATACACCCCTTCGTCCCATCGTCTCCCTTCGTCCCATCGTCTCACTGGAAAAACCACCTCTGCGGTACTAAACTCTACTCACCTGGTATCGACAATCAAGGGTATTTCCCTGTCCCCAGACGACCTGCTTGTCTGTTTTGATGTGGTTTGCTTATTCACTAAAGTTTCGGTACCTGACACCATCGCAATCATTGAAGACTTCGTTCATCAAGGACTGCATACTGATGTACCCCCCCTGGTGAGACATTGCTTAACCAACACATACTTCACCTGGAATGGAACTTTCTACAAACAGACTGAGGGCACCCCAATGGGCTCCCCCCTATCTCCGGTTGTAGCCAACGTGTTCATGGAAAAATTTGAAACTGATGCCATCCAGACTGCCACTCTACGCCTAACCTTATGGAAGAGGTACGTGGATGACACTTTTGTCATCTGGCCACATGACCGGCATGCTCTAGACCAATTCCTCGACCACATAAATTCCATACACCCAGCCATCAAATTTACCATGGAGGTCGAAAAAGATGGCAAGTTACCCTTTTTGGATGTCTTAATTAAAAGGAGACCTGATGGTTCAATGAGCCACTCTGTCTACAGGAAAGCTACCCATACAGATGCTTACTTAAAACCGGATTCCCACCACCATCCATCCCAGAAGAACTCCCTCATCAAGATTCTATACCATAGAGCCCAATGCATTTCCGACCAGGAACACATTGCCAGTGAACTCAAGCACGTACACCAAGATCTCAAAGCTAATGGTTACTCCGACTTCACAATCCGCAAAACCATCACTCCAGTCATGAAGAAGGATCCCCTTGAGGAGCCATTCAAAACCATCACCTTACCCTACATTGTGGGGGTCACAAAAAAGATCTCCAAAATCCTGAATAAACAAAAAATCCAGGTCCGATTCAACACAGTACATAAAATCCGTGATCTGGTTCCGTCTGTAAAAGATGTGGTTCCCGACATTACAGTACCCGGGCGTTTACAAACTAAGTTGCCTCTGTGGTAACAGCTACATTGGAGAAACCAAACGACATATCTCGGACCGCATCCGTGAAAATGAAGCAGACTTGAAACATGGTAGGACGAACTCCTCAGCCGTGGCAGATCACTGTTATAAATCAGTGGGCTCACATGACATAGACTTCTCCAAGACGGAGGTTCTCTGCAAGCCATCCAACTACCATGAGAGAATCGTTCATGAGGCCATCCACATATACAATCACAGAGACAATTTCAACCGAGAAGATGGATTCTGGCTTAGTAACCATTGGAAAGATGTTATAAACCATTTCAGTTCTTAATTGATTGTATTTTACGGTGACGTTCAGACCGCAGTCCATTCGCTGGCACTGCCCCTTAATACCTCTCACACCACGGGTAATGGTATGGTTTATAGCATGTGGTATAATAATAAATAGTATAACATTGTAATGTTTAACATAATTCATAAGGCAATATATAGTATCGTAATTGCATAGTAATATACAGCAGTGTGGTATATAGTTGGGTTAATAGAATAAGACAGAGTGTAATGTTACAAGTCTAATATTTTATAGTCTAAAGTATACAGTAGTGTAAAGTAACGCATTGGATAATTCAAAGGTGGAATTTGTCTATGGATATGATATTATACCATGTAGTTTAGAATGGAAGGTATAATATTGTATTGTATAGTAGTCCAGTTTATAGCATAGTTATAATGCAACACATGACAGAGCATCGCACCTTAGCTGCTCTGCTTTGGTATTTTTCTGTGTGCCCAGCCGCCCCCTTCCTCTGCTCCGGAGGTGGGGCTGGGTAACATGCTAATGCATATGTTAACTCCGCCCACACAGCTTAAAAGACGCGGTCCATGCTCGGCAGTGTTCACTCAAGCGCTGTCTTCTGGACAGATCTGTTTCTTCACCTGAAGAAGGCTACTTGTATTGTGGCCGAAACGTCGTGATAATTTAATTTTATTACGTTTTATTTTTATTATTTTATTTCCATTTTACGTGACTTTACTAAAAGAACCAAGAAGATGAATCCCAGCAGTCACGAAAGCTTTAAATCGAAATTTAAAGCACATATACATGCCCGTCTGAAGTTTGCCAATGAACATCTGAATGATTCAGAGGACAACTGGGTGAAAGTGTTGTGGTCAGATGAGACCAAAATGGAGCTCTTTGGCATCAACTCAACTCGCCGTGTTTGGAGGAGGAGGAATGCTGCCTATGACCCCAAGAACACCATCCCCACCGTCAAACATGGAGGTGGAAACATATGCTTTGGGGTTTTTTTTCTGCTAAGGCGACAGGATAACTTCACCACATCAAAGGGACGATGGACGGGGCCATGTACCGTTAAATCTTGGGTGAGAACCTCCTTCCCTCAGCCAGGGCATTGAAAATGGGTCGTGGATGGGTATTCCAGCATGACAATGATCCAAAACACACGGCCAAGGCAACAAAGGAGTGGCTCAAGAAGAAGCACATTAAGGTCCTGGAGTGGTCTAGCCAGTCTCCAGACCTTAATCCCATAGAAAATGTGGAGGGAGCTGAAGGTTCGAGTTGCCAAACGTCAGCCTCGAAACCTTAATGACTTGGAGAAGATCTGCAAAGAGGAGTGGGACAAAATCCCTCCTGAGGTGTGCAAACCTGGTGGCCAACTACAAGAAACGTCTGACCTCTGTGATTGCCAACAAGGGTTTTGCCACCAAGTACTAAGTCATGTTTTGCTGAGGGGTCAAATACTTATTTCCCTAATTAAAATGCAAATCAATTTATAACATTTTTGACATGCGTTTTTCTGCATTTTTTTGTTATTCTGTCTCTCACTGTTCAAATAAACCTACCATTAAAATTATAGACTGATCATTTCTTTGTCAGTGGGCAAACGTACAAAATCAGCAGGGGATCAAATACTTTTTTCCCTCACTGTAGGTGCCTTAGTGTTTTTGAGGATTGCAGCGATTTCAGTTCTTGCCACGTCTGCAGTAATGTGTCCTAAACCCTTAAGGGCTACATCAACCTGGGCAATGATATTATCAACTGGGATGTGTTTAGGGGTGACTGCGAAATTCAACCCTTTAGCTATAACCGATTTTAGGCTGTCAGAAATTAGACTGTTACTCTGATTGATAACAAACTTGTCAACGTCAAACTTTTTAACGTGTGGATCTGGCTTCTTGGGAATCAGGTTATCTTTGCATTTAGCTGACTGAAGAGGCTGTCATGTTATCTACATGTTCCCAATCAGATGTAGACATTTTTTCTGTCAATGTTAATTGTGATTTCAGGAGAGTCTTGTCTAAATTATCTAGTTCAAATCGGAGCAATCTTATTCTCTCTGAGATCAGGGCTAAGCCGGCCCTGAACAAGATCTGTTTAGTATTGTGAGAAGTGACAGCAGCAGATGTCAATGTAAAGGCGATCGGTATTACCTTAGTGTCGCGGCATCTCTTCAGGAATGTGAGCGACTTGATCCCGATGAGCCTTCTTGTCTCGAAGTTTGTTGAAATATCTAATAGTTGTGTGGAAACCCTCCCCATAGAGGCGGTTAAATCTTGACTTAAAGCTTTCGTGACTCCAGGAATTCATATTCTTAGGGTTTTCCGGTAAAGTCACGTAGATAGATTTTACATTAACAGGTAAAATTTCTCACCCTAACACAGCCACCTCTCTCACCGAGCTCGAGGTTTTTGCTTTCCGATGTTCCATTAACATGCTAATCTCTCACTTTAACATAGCCACCTCAGGGCGCCCGCCGTGGAGGCTGCTCAATGATCTTACATTATCATGCTAATTTTTACTGGGCAACCCTTTGATTGGTGGGAAAACCCACCACCATCGCGGTCGCTGCCCACCACTTACATTAACATTGGCTGCTGACATTTGGGTTATGCCCATTTCAAACCTTTATAAACAGTTTACCTTTAGAAGCTAACTCCCTCTTCCTGATGACGAGCGTTTGTGTTGTGATCGAAACGTCATAGTTTTTTGTTATTTTCTTTGAACCTATCTACGTGACTTTACCGAAAGACCCAAAGAATATCATTATTATATTATTATAATAAAGCAAAGGTAAGGTCGCTACTCGCAAGGCGTGGGAGAGACGTGATCGGTGAACCCGTCCCGTCGGACACATCGGACCAGCACGTGTAGTCTCATACACTTTGCATATATATCTCTCTCTCTTTCTATATCGCTATACAATCATTATGACAACTCCGCAGGGACAGAGGATCGTGGAGTTGAAGAGCATGAGGCTGCCCCACGTCGCGATGCAGCGCAATGGCGCGGTGACCCCGGGGGTCAAACTGCCCCGCCGAGCGGCCACCTATCCCCGTCATGGCCGCCGTAGCGGCGGCGACGGTGGCAGCGGCGACGGTGACAGCGGTGGTGGTGTGTGCACTGGGACGTGGCTGCCGGCGAGCCCCCGCGATCCCCGGTCACGCTCATGCCGCGCGGCCACGCTGCGCCGCGAGTACTGGAGGTCGCGCTGCGGCATGGGGACTCACAGCACCAGCACCGCCGGCATCTCACGGGCAGCGGGGGCAGCTGGGGTAGCGGGGGGAGGCAGAGGAGGGGGGGAGGCTGCGGACGAGTGCGAGGAACGGACGACGAGAGGTGGCGAGCGAGCGGACGCGTGCGTCGTCATCGACATGAACGGTGATGATGGCGATGATGCCGTCGTCGTGGTAATCGACTCGTCAGAAGACACCGACTCGGAGTCCATCCTGTGAACTCTGAACTCCCCATGGGGCGGGGGTGGGGGGTACGTTTAGGAGATCGCTTGTGTAGATCGGGTTAGACATCGGGCTTAGGGTGAGTGTCTGGCTGGCTAGTGTCTGGCTGGCTAGTGTCTGGCTGGCTATTGTCTGGCTGGCTAGTGTGACCAGGGCTAGTGTCTGGCTAGTGGGATACTTATCTGATTTTTCAGATGTTGTGGGGAATATAAGTAACCCAATAGCTCAGTAGAAAATTTGCCTCCTTAACATATCTTTCCCTCCACATAAACATTAAAAGTAGTTTTTACAAATCCCATCAGCCACGCTGCCTTCCGGGAGTCGATCATTTCAGTAGCATTGATTCAGTACGAAATAACGTTCAGACAGGTTTGAACACTGCGTGTCTCATCAGCACATTCAGGGTTGTTTGAACCAGTGCTGGTGAACTGCCAGATGTTTGTAGGCAAGGACCCTGTCTGTTAATAACCATTCACAGCCATGCCTGTGTTGAACCACAAGACTTTTCAATCTACCAATGTTGTTCCATGTGACGATGAATTCAAATTAAGGTTTTTTTTTACCTCATAACAAAAAACTTTCAAAAACCAAACAAAAAAAACATGAAGTGCTTTTTGTAAAACGTACAAATATTCTACTGTGCTGTTCTCGCTGTGTCTCTCTGTGTGTGTCTTTGTGTATATACATGTGTGTGTGGGGAGTAGTCGTGCATCGGTTAACGCACTGCGCTACGAACCCGTCCACCCAAGTTCGATTACCACTCACGGTCAACATCAGTGACGAATATCCGAACCGGTCCTGAGCCTCCCCTGGGTCGACTCAGCCTTAAATGAGTACCTGCTGGGGTTTGTAAACCTCAGTACAGGGGAGACAATGGTGGTCAGGCTGGGCGCGGTTCCACCCACAACATTTCCTCGTAGGTGCCGCGCCGTGACGGCCTTCGTAGGCACTCGCTTAAAGATCCTGCCTCAACAGTCTGTGTGGGCTACACGGGGGACCTTTGTCTTTGTGCCTGCCTTGACACGCACGGCATTCACTGTAATGGTCAGTCACCGCGTCACTCCCACTGTGTTCATGCGGCCGTCACAGAGATTGATGTACGGACGTCTCCATTAAACGTGTTTCTTACTTTAGCAGTCCCGCTGTGTGTGATTCATTCCCCTGGCACTGGAGAGGCCACGGGGCCCAAAGGTCCACTCAGCGGAGAGGCCGCGGGGCCCACGGGTCCACTCACCAGATAGGCCAAGGGGCCCTGGTGGCCACTCACCGAGGGCTGAAAGGCGGCGGTGCAGCAACTCATGGTAGGAATTGTTCAACAGTGACCGCTCAACAGGTCACAGATTGTAGAACCGGTTCCAGGGGAACGTCAGTGACGAATGCACCGCTGGGGTAAATCCTATATGCAAGGTGAGTGCGAGGCACAGGCGTAGCACTGCAACTGCTCGCTCGAAGCCCTGCTGGCGGAAGGGGTCTCTTCTCGAAGGAGCTCGAGTGGTATTTTTGCCCACATTTCCACGATTGCCAGACAAGTTGGAAGTGTCGGGAATACCCACATTTAACCCCACCACACACGACTGGAGAACCCATACAGTGGCAGCTGGGGATTTGCTCTGCTGCTTCAACTGCCGCTCCGGGAAATCAAATCGAACTGGTGACATCTGGATCAAAAATCTAGTAACCATTGCCCCAATCGGTCTCTGTGTGTGTCTATGGCTTTGTGCGAGTCTGTAACTCTGTCTATTGCTCTCTGTCTGAGTCTATAGATCTCTGTGTGAGTCTAATAGTCTCTGAGTGAGTATCGATCTCTGTGTGAGTATATGGCTCTCTGTGTGAGTCTATGGCTCTCTGTGTGAGTCTATGGTTCTCTGTGTGAGTCTATGGCTTTCTGTATGAGTCTATGGCCATCTGTGTGAGTTTATGGCTCTGTGCAAGTCTATGGCTCTGTGTGAGTATATGGCTCTGTGTGACTAAATAACTTTGTGTGAGTCTATGGCTCTCTGTGTGTGTCTATGGCTCTTTGTGTGAGTCTATGGCTCTCTATGTGAGTCTATGGCCATCTGTGTGAGTCTATGGCTCTGTGTGAGTCTATGGCCAGGGGTTGGCAAATTTTTTGACTCGCGGCCACAATGGGTTCTAAAATTTGACAGAGGAGCCGGGCCACTCCCGGTCAAAGTGCGCCATCTAATGGGGAAATGGGGGCATTACAGGAGAAAGGTAAAATTTTATTTAATAATATTAATATTTGGACAAGTTCGGCGGGCCGGATTAGAAAGTCCAACGGGCCGCATACGGCCCAGGGGCCGTACTTTGCCCATGTCTGGTCTATGGCTCTGTGTGAGTATATGGCTCTCTGTGTGTCTATAGGTCTACGTGTGATTATTTGGCTCTGTGTGAGTCTATGGCTCTCTGTGTAAGTCTATAGGTCTGTAAGTTTATGGCTCCCTGTGTGAGTATATGGCTCTCTGTGTAAGTCTATAGGTCTCTGTGTGAGTATATAGGTCCCTGTGTAAGTCTATGGATCTCTGTGGGAATCTGTGGGTCTCTGTGCGAGTCTATGGCTCTCTGTGTGAGTCTATAGCTCTTTGTGTGAGTCTATGGCTCTGTATGAGTCTATGGCCATATGTGTGATTATATAACTTTGTGTGAGGCTATGGCTCTCGTTGTGGGTCTATAGCTCTATGTGAGTATATGGTTCTCTGTCTGAGTCTATAGGTCTCTGTGTAAGTCTATGGAACTCTGTGGGAGTCTGTGGGTCTCTGCGTGAGTCGATGGTTCTCTGTGTGAGTCTATGGTTCTCTGTGTGAGTCTATGGCTCTTTGTGTGAGGCTTTCGGTCTCTGCGTGAGCCTATGGCTCTCTGTGTGAGTCTATGGCTCTCTGTGCGAGTTTATGGCTCTCCGTGTGAGGCCATGGCTCTCTGTGTGAGTCTATGGCTCTCTATGTGAATATATGGCTATCTGTGTGAGTATATGGCTCTCTGTGTGATTCTATATCTTCGTGTGAGTCTTTGACTCTATGTGTGAGTATATAACTTTGTGTGAGTCTATGGCTGTCGGTGTGAGTCTGTGGCTCTCTGTGTGGGTCTACAGGTCTCTGTATGAGGTTATAGGTCTCTGTCTGAATCTATGGCTCTCTGTGTGAGTCTGTGGGGCTCTGTATAATTTATCGGTGACGGCGCTGAGACCATAAAACAGCCACAGGCGGCTGAAGCTCGGCTTGCAAACCAGGATCCTCGCGGTGTCTGCTCAGCGGGGTCAGCGCTCTGACCCCTGAGCCATGCGGCCTCTCGAAACATCAAGGAAGGCTCACTTATTGGACTGAATCGTCATCTGGTTGTGATCTCTCTCGGCACCAGGTGGGGGCGCTGTAGCCACGTACATTGGGTGAGTGCGCCAGTGTGTGCCGTGCGTAAAATATTCAGCCGGTTGGTTGAGAAAATAAGAAAATAACTCAGTAGTCAATACCGCCACCTCCCCATAGACAATATGAAAGTGTTATTTACACATCCCATCAGCCGCACGGCATCCTGGGAGTGTTTTTTTCAGCAGAATTTGTTCAACGCGATCACAATTCATTTCGCATAACGACGCTAATTATCATTTTGTATTATGCGTGATATAATACTCTAGTATATAATAATTACATGCTTCCATCTGGCAGTTTACTAGCACTTGTTCTAGTAGGACTTACTCTACTGATGAGACACCGAATGTCGAAACCGGTCCAGAGTTGTGCCCGTATTGAATCAATGAATCAATGCTGTTTAAAGTCTGCACTTCCACAAAATCGTCCTGACGGGATGTGTAAAACCCACTGCTATTCGAGATGCGATACAACAGGCAAGTGGAGGGGGCTAATTGTCTGCTGGGTTATCTTGCTGGGTCCAACCTGTGAGTTTCATGAGAAGATCGCAACAGAGACGAAGAAGAGGGTGGAGCCGTGTCTCCCAGCTCCGTGTCTCCCAGCTCCGTGTCTCCCAGCTTCATGTCTACCAGCTCCGTGTTTTCCAGCTCCGTATCTCCCAGCTCCGTATCTCCCAGCTCCGTGTCTCCCGGCTCCGTGTCTCCCGGCTCCGTGTTATCCAGCTCCGTGTCTCCCAACTCCGTGTCTCCCAGCTACGTGTCTCCAAACTCCGTGTCTCCCAGCTCCGTGTCTCCCAGCTCCGTGTCTCCCAACTCCGTGTCTCCCAACTCCGTGTCTCCCAACTCCGTGTCTCCCAGCTACGTGTCTCCCAACTCCGTGTCTCCCAACTCCGTGTCTCCCAGCTCCGTGTCTCCCAACTCCGTGTCTCCCAACTCCGTGTCTCCCAGCTCCGTGTCTCCCAACTCCGTGGCTCCCAACTCCGTGTTTTCCAGCTCCGTGTTTTTCAGCTCCGTGTCTCCCGGCTCCGTGTCTCCCGGCTCCGTGTTATCCAGCTCCGTGTTTTTCAGCTCAGTATCTTCCAGCTCCGTGTCTCCCAGCTCCGTGTTTACCGGCTCCGTGTTTTTCAGCTCCGTGTCTCCCAGCTCCGTATTTTCTCATCCTCACGTTCCGCCCACTGCGGTCATCGTCTCTGTCCATGCCACTGCGGCGGCGGTGGCGATGATGTCACTGGCGACGAAGGGCAATTGACTCACCCAGAGAGAGAGAGGCCTTAATCCAGCACGACGCGTACAGGTGTACGGGGTATAGATAGCGGCGGCACGTGGCCCGGGTGCAGGTGGGGAGCAGTAGTAATTATTACAATAATAATAATGCAAAATAATGAGAATACTTGAATTTTGATTTAAAGCTTTCGTGACTGCAGTAATTCATATTCTTAGTTCTTTCGGTAAAGTCACGTTGAAGGGAAACAATAAAATAATAACCGACACACCTGATGACAACCGTTTATGTTGTGGTCGAAACGTCGTGATAATTTTTATTGTTTTATATATATTTTATTATTTTATTGTTTCCCTTCAACGTGACTTTACCGAAAGAACTAAGAATATAATACTTAAATTATGAAAAAAGTGTTGACGCTTAGCCGCCACCATCGCCACTGGCTGGGCGGGTGGCGGTGGCTCAGCGGAAGAGCGAGCGGCTCACAGTTGGAAGGTTGCGAGTTCACCTTCTGCTTTGGGTGATCTCCTCCTGCTGCTGCTGCTCAAAATGAGCATCGAGGCATTGGTGTCATCTGTTTACAGCCCTGCTGAGCCAGTGGTAGAAATTCAACATTCCTATGGTGGGAGCGGAGGATCTGTCCATAAGACAACCACTGTTGATCGTTCCTATAAAGTAGTGCCTATTTTATCGACCCCAGACAGATAGATGATGATGGGCCAAGTCCCCCCCCCACAACCATAATTTGAACTTGCGGCCTTCCGATCGTGGCGAGCCGCTCGCTCGAGTCATGAGGTCCCCGCCACTGCCATTGCCCGTGCTGAGATTTAACTCCGAGATGTGATGGCCCGGAGATCAGAGCGCGGAGTCGGCACCGCTGAGATCCTGGGTTCCAATCCAACTTTCAGCCCCAAGCACAGTGGTCACACTCAGACAGAGACACATAGACTCAGACAGAGACACATAGACTCATACAGAGACACATAGACTCAGACAGAGACACATAGACTCACACAGAGACACATAGATTCAGACAGACACATAGACTCACACAGAGACACATAGATTCAGACAGACACCCATAGACTCAGACAGAGACACATAGACTTAGACAGAAACACATAGGCTCACACAGAGACACATTGACTCAGACAGAGACACATCGGCTTAGACAGAGACATAGACTCACACAGAGACACATAGATTCAGACAGAGACACATAGACTCAGACAGAGACACACAGACTCAGACAGAGACACATAGACTCACACAGAGACACATATACTCACACAGAGGCACATAGCCTTAGACAGAGACACAGACTCAGACAGAGACACATAAACTCAGACAGAGACACACAGAGACACATAGACTCACACAGAGGCACATCGACTCAGACAGAGACACATAGACTCAGACAGAGACACATAGATTCAGACAGACACCCGTAGACTCAGACAGAGACACATAGACTCAGACAGAGACACATAGACTCAGACAGAGGCACATAGAACACACAGAGACACATTGACTCAGACAGAGACAGACTC